ATGGTAACTTATGTACAGGTGATAATGACTTGATCACATTTACAGTGTGCAAACAGAATAAAGTCCAGACCAGTGATAGATATGCTTGATCCCTTAAAAGGGCCACTTTCATAAAGCTGAAAGCAATTATGAGCCAAATCAGCTGGGGGAAGAATTTAATCAGAAAAGGGTTAATGATAATTGGGAATTGTTTAAGAACACTATTAGGTGCCCCAAAAGCCACACTCTTACAAATGAAGAAGAAGGCTGTATTGGTTTAAAAAAACAGTTCCAGGTTTAGAGAGCAAGTGAAGGCAGCTATAAAAAAAAGTGTGTGTGTGTAAATAAACAAATGGAAGAAAGGGAAAGTTGATAGCAATGAGTATGAATCAGAAGCTAGGAATTGTAGAAAATTGATAAGGGAAGCCAAGGGGCACAAGTTGAAATCTATGACCAGTAGAGTTGAGGACAACAAAAAGAAGTTTTAAAGTGTATTAGGAACAAAAGAACCCTAGCAATGATATTGGTCCATCACTAGATGGAAATGGTAGAATTAGCAATAATGCAGAAAAGGCAGAAGTGTTCAATAAATATTTCTGTTCAGTATTTGGGAAGAAAAGAGATGATGTAGTCATAGCATAAGATAAAATTATTTCATTCCACTAGTACCTCAGGAGGATGTTTAACTAACTTTAATAACTCACAACGTTTATTAAAGATAGACATTTTAAGATCAGCAGGTCTAGGTAATTTGCATGCAGGAGTTTTAAAATAATGGCTGAGGAGCTTACTGGACTGTTAATGTTGATTTTCAATATGTCTTGGAATACTGGGGAAGTTGCAGAAGACTGAAAGAAATATTATGGTGTGCCAGTCTTTAAAATGGGTAAACGAGATGACCTGGGTAATTATAGGTCTATCAATCTGACATCAATCCCAGGCAAGATAATTGAGCACCTGATATGGGACTTGATTAATAAAGAATTAATAGAGCACAATGTAATTTAATGCCAGTCAACATGGATTTATGGAAAATAGATACTGTTAAACTAACTCAATATCCTTTTTTTTAGAAGATTACAAGTTTGGTGATAAAGGTAATAGTGTTGATGTAATATACTTAGGCTTCTGATAAGGCTTTTGACTTTTATTACTGCATGACATTTTGATTAAAAAAAACAAGAAAAACATAAAAATAACATGGCACACACTACATGAATTAAAAGCTAGCTAATTGGTAGGTCTCAAAGTTTAATTCTAAATAGGGAATCATCATTGAGTGGTGTGTTTCTAGTGGGGTCCTGAAGGGATTGGTTCTTAGCTCTACAATATTTAATATTAATAACCTGGAACAAAACACAGAATCATCACTGATAAAGTCTGCACAAAAATTGAGCAAGTGGTAAATAATAAAGAGGACAAACCACTAGATCGCTTGTTAAGCTGGGCGCAAGCAAACAATGTACGTTTTACTATGGCTAAACATAAATGTATGTATCAAGGAACAAAGAATGTAGGCCATACTTACACAATGGGGGACTCTATCCCGGGAAGTAGTGCCTCTGGTGTGTGTTGGCTGAATGTGAGCTCCCAGTGTGATGATGTGGCCAAAAGAGCGAATGCAATCGTTGGGTGCATAAATGAGGACTCCCGAGTAGGAGAAAACTGGTTATTTTACCTGTGTATTTGGCACTGGTATGACTGCTGCTGGAATACTGTTCTGGTATCCACAATTCAAGAAGGATGTTGATAAATTAGAGAGGGTTCAGAGAAGAGCCACAAGAATGATTAAAGGATTAGAAAACATGCTTTATAGTGATTGAGTTCCTTGAATCTATCTTAACAAAGAGAAGGTTAAGGGGTGACTTTGTTCCCCAGATAGGTACTTACAGACTGTAAACAATATTTAATGGGCTCTTCAGTCTAGCAGAGAAAGGTATAACATGATCCAATGGCTGGATGTTGAAGTTTCCTAAATTCAGACAGGAAATAAGGTATAAATGTTTAAAAGTGAGAATTAATTACTGGAACATTTTACAAAGGATCACAGTGGATTCTCTATTACTGACAATTTTTAAATCAAGACTGGATGTTTTTCTAAAAGATAGGCTGTAGGAATTATTTTGGGGAAGTTTTATGGCATGTGTCATATAGGAGGTCAGGCTAGATGATTACTATGGTCCCCTCTGGCATCTCTCCCCAGTGCAGCCCTGAGCGCCTGCATGGTGCTTAATAGGCTGCCGCATGGCCGCGCAGTTTAGAGGGAACTTAGCTGGTCATAGAAGCAGTAAAGTGTGCATAGGAATAACAACACAGAACATGCACTAGGATTTTCTCCCTGCAACTCATGTGGATGTGCATGGGAGTGCTCCGTGCCTGGAGAGTAGACATCTCCCTCATCCCACTTCTCAGCTTAACGGATTGCTATACCACGGTGAGGGTTGTAATGTGGAACTTTTTCTCCTCTTTCACAGCCACTGATGAGCTGTGCTGTTCTCCATCCTAGCAGAGGGGACGGGGAAGTGAAGAGACTCCATCCCATCCAGCTATATGTCTGTGCTGTTCCCTCTCCCAACTCATTGCCCCCCTGTGTCTCCCAGCTTTTTGGGTTGCCCAGGGCAATCCAGCTGCCCCTCTGCTTCCATGCTGTCAGTATTGTGTCCTCTGATCCCACAGAGGGGCCCAGGAGCAATCTAGCCCCCACCTTACCCTGCTGAGTAAGAGTCTACCTTCTCTCTCCCACAGCCCTCACTGCCATCTCCCCTAGTCCTGGGGAAAGCTCTAGTCCTTTCTTCTTGCTCCTTGTTTCTTAGAGGAGTTGGGGGTAGTCTGGAACTCCTGCAGCCCTCCAACTAACTTGTGAGTCCTTCCCCTGTCACACCCTCTTTTAGTTTCTTGGATCTTTATAGGGGTTTTGACCTTTTGAAACATCTATCTTACTGCTCTTTCACTGTCCAGTCTAGCTTTGAGTAGGGGTTGGGGAAGAGGAGCAGTGGATGAAGAGAACTTCCTGCCCACTCCAATACCTTCCAGCCTGCTTCAACAAAGACATGCAAGGTGGATGAGAAGAGCATCCATGTGGGCTTCCAGAATAGTGCATTGAGTGCATTGGAAACTAGGAAGTGAAACAATCAGCAACATGGGAGTAAAACTGGCTATGTGCAGAGGACATTCAAAGGCATCAAGTAAATGAAAATGAGGAGAACAATAGTTTTGTCTCCAGTCTTTTTGGCTGTTTCTATTAGGGTTAAAGTACTCAGTGCTTTTTTTGCCTCGGTCTTCACAGACAAGGTCAGCTCGCAGACTGCTGCACTGGGCAGCACAGTATGGGGAGGAGGTGAGCAGCCCTCAGTGGTGAAATAACAGATTAAGGACTGTTTAAAAAAGCTGGACATAGATTCATAGATATTAAGGTCAGAAGGGACCATTATGATCATCTAGTCCGACCTTCTGCACAATGTCCATGGGGCCGGATGCAATGCATCTGAGGGTGCTGAGGGAGTTGGCTGATGTGATTGCGGAGCCATTGGCCAGTATCTTTGAAACCTCGTGGCGATCAGGGGAGGTCCTGAATGATTGGAAAAAGGCAAATATAGTGCCTGTCTTTTTAAAAAGGGAAGAAGGATAATCTGAGGAACTTTAGACCGGTAAGCCTCACCTCAGTCCTTGCAAAAATCATGGAGCAGGTCCTCAAAGAATCAATTCTGAAGCACTCTGAGGAGAGGAAAGTGATCAGGAACAGCCAACATGGATTCATCAAGGGCAAGTCATGCCTGACCAACCTGATTGCCTTCTATGATGAGATAACTGGCTCTCTGGATATGGAGAAAGCAGTGGACGTGATATATCTTGACTTTAGGAAAGCTTTTGATATGGTCTCGCACAGTATTCTTGCCGGCAAGTTAAAGAAGTATGGACTGGACGAATGGACTGTAAGGTGGATAGAAAGCTGGGTAGATTGTTGGGCTCAACCGGTAGTGATCAATGGCTCGATGTCTAGTTGGCAGCCAGTATCAAGCGGAGTGCCCCAGGGGTCGGTCCCGAGGCCGGTTTTGTTCAACATCTTCATTAATGATCTGGAGGATGGCGTGGATTGCACCCTCAGCAAGTTTGCAGATGACACTAAGATGGGGGGAGAGGTAGATATGCTGGAGGGTAGGGATAGGGTCCGGAGTGACCTAGACAAATTGGAAGATTGGGCTAAAAGAAATCTGATGAGGTTCAACAGGAGAAACACAGAGTCCTGCACTATGGAAGGAAGAATCCCATGCGCTGCTACAGGCTGGGGATCGACTGGCTAAGTGGAAGTTCTGCAGAAAAGGGCCTTGGGATTACAGTGGATGAGAAGCTGGAATGAGTCAACAGTGTGCCCTTGTTGTCAAGAAGGCTAACGGCATATTGGGTTGCATTAGTAGGAGCACTGCCAGCATATAGAGGGAAGTGATTATTCCCCTCTATTCAGCGTTGGTGAGGCCACATCTGGAGTATTGCATCCAGTTTTGGGCCCCCCGCTTCAGAAAGGATGTGGACAAATTGGAGAGAGTCCAGTGGAGGGCAACAAAAATGGTTAGGGGGCTGGGGCACATGACTTATGAGGAGTGGCTGAGGGAACTGCGCTTATTTAGTCTTCAGAGAAGAGTGAGGGGGGATTTGATAGCAGCCTTCAAGTACCTGAAGGGGGGTTCCAAAGAGGATGGAGCTCTGCTAGGCTGTTCTGAGTGGTGGAAGATGACAGAACAAGGAGCAATGGTCCCACGTTGCAGTGGCGGGGGGTCTAGGTTGGATATTAGAAAAAACTATTTCACTAGGAGGGTGGTGAAGCACTGGAATGGGTTACCTAGGGAGGTGGTGGAACCTCCATCCTTGAAGGTTTTTAAGGCCTGGCTTGTCAAAGCTGTCTCTGGGATGATTTAGTTAGGGATTGGCCCTGCTTTAAGCAGGGGGTTGGACTAGATGACCTCCTGCGGTCTCTTCCAACCCTAATCTTCTATGATTCTAAAAATATACCTTTTCCTTAACAGGTTAATGCTACAACTCCCTTGTCTTCACTAGGATTGTAACACAGGTATTGTAAACTACACCTTTTTTTTTCTGGTGAAGACAGAGCCTTTCAGTTTTAGGTCTACTCCTGAGAAATCACCCGTATGCCCACACAAACCTCTTTGCAGTTTTACTAATCTGTTATTACTTGTACGAATAGACATAAAATCCTTTTCAGACAGAAATGTGAAATTTTTAGTCGACTTGCCCCTTTTAAAAATGAAATTTAATTCTACAGACTGAGGGCATCAGAGGAGTACTGGAATAGCATACCACTATGTGCTGCTGCAGTCCAACCCCTGAATTAAACTCACAAGTACAGCTCAACAAGAAACAGTTTTTTTGTCTTGCAAGAACTTTGAAGTTTTAAAATGTTACAAATTGTGGTGAAAAGTCAAAATATCAAAAATTTACTGAAAATCCCTCACCCCCAAAGCAGGTCAGTTGCAATGTTTTGTTTTGATGATTTTGAAATGTTTTGATTTCAACTTTAATTTTTTATGTACTTAAATTTTGAAACAAAAAGTAATTTTGAATAAAAACAGTACTTTTCATTTTAAAAAATGTTGAAACAGGAGGTTTTGATTATTTCAAAACTTTTAAAAAATTATTTTAAATGGGAAATTTATCTGAACTGATCCTTTCCTATGGAATGTTTTTGTTTTGATAAATTGGGATTTTCCGATGAAAAAAATTTGACTAATTCCCAATAGCTAAAGTAATAAGTACCTTTTGAGGGCCTTTCTTCATTAGGGACATTTTTGAAATTTACACCAGTGCAACAACATTGACATATTTACTCTGACAGGTTACCAGAATTAGGGCTTGTCTATACTTGAAACGTTACAGCGTCACAAATGCTGCACTGAAGTTGCACTGCTGTAGCATTTCAAATTAAACACTACCTACCTCAACAGGAGGAGTTCTCCCATTGACGTAGGTTATTCACCTCCCCAGAAGGCAGTAGCTGGGTCGATGGAAGGGATTCTTCTGTCTACCTAATGCGGTCTACACTGGGAATTAGGTTGGCTTGATTATGTTGCAACAGGGAACAGAAATAGAGAATTATGATTATAAAGTCACCAAAATTGGCAATGGGACCCAGGGACAAGTGTAGTACCTGAAACTACTTTTAACTCCCTCTCTCTTTTTTTTTTTTTTAATTGACTATATGTCAAGTTGTCAGCATCCTTTTAATTTTACTCTGAAAGTACAGTTTATGTAAAGACTTTACCTTCTTTCTCTGACCATAATTTATTCTTCCATATGCTATTCTGCTGTATCTAGTTTTTCTTTTCCTTTTGATTTTATTACTTTATTTTAAGAGTCATTTCTGCACACTGTAGTAGCAGAAGTTACTGCAGTAGCAGAAGTTAGCAGTAGCAATGGGAGCATTCATTTAAAGTCAAGAGATTTAAGGATATAAAGTGATGAACACAAAGAGCAGACAAAAATAATTACACTTCATATAAAATATAAATAGGAGTGACCCATTATTTTGTGTTGTGCTGCTTGAGCATGATATATTTACCTAAGATAAATTCCTTCTCATTGGTACTATTATGGAATGTTCCCTGTATTCATGAACACACATGTACACCAATGTTACATTTATTGGCTACTGCAAAAATCCCACTCACTTATTCAAAAGATTTCATGATGACGATAATATTACTATGAAATGTGATTTTTTTTTTTTTCAAAGTGTGAGCAAAAATTCACAACTTGTACAGAGCTTAAAGGAATACCAACAGGAGAAGCCGGCTACTGACTGTACAGTAGAAATTGTGGAACACAGTGCTGTCAAATGCAGAAAGCTAAGAAGCTAGAAAAAACATTCAACTCAAATTAATGCATTCAACTCAAACTACTGCCAATCAGACTTTTATACCAAATTGTACAATTGTGTACTTTGTTTATGCAGTGTGTTTTACAGAAAACTATTAGATATATTGGAGTGAATTTAAAATAACTATGGTATTTTTCATGTCCTATCACAAATCTTCCTAAATACCTTCATTCCAACTGTAGATATCTTGGAGAGAAAAGAAAAAGCTTTTAGAAACTTTTACAAATATTCTAAAACAGGATTTCTAAAATGGAAACATGATTTATAGGTTTCAGTCCTGCAAATACATAGGTGCTTAATTGTAAGCATGTGGGTAGGGCTGTCAAGCGATGTAAAAAAATTAATCGCGGTTAATCGCACTGTTAAACAATAATATAATACCATTTATTTAAATATTTTTGGATGTTTTCTATATTTTCAAATATATTGATTTCAATTATAACACAATATAAAGTGTACAGTGCTCACTTTATATTTTTGGTTACAAATATGTGCACTGTAAAAAACAAAAGAAATAGTATTTTTTCAGTTCACCTAATACAAGTACTGTAGTGCAATCTCTTTATCGTGAAAGTGCAATTTACAAATGCAGGATTATGTACAAAAAATAACTGCATTCAAAATAAAACAATGTAAAACTTTATAGCCTACAAGTCTACTCAGTCCTATTTCTTGTTCTGCCAATCAGTCAGATAAACAAGTTTGTTTACATTTGCAGCTGGAGGGATTCAAAAATCAGTGCCAATTATTTTCTTTCAAACTTTTCTAAAATAGGTTAACTCTAGAATGTGTGGCAACCACAAAATATGTGATGGCTTGGTGTGGGGTAAAAGTTTTCTCTTTTTTTTTTTTCATTGCAGAATTGCTCACAAGTGATCATTTGGAAATCCCAAAGTCATGCCGATAAAACCTTTATACCTGTATTACACCATGTCAACATATATTCTCACTATTTACTGATATTAATGAGTAAATTTCTGGAATCATGTTCAAAATGTGTCTCATTTTCATACATATTTAAGGGCCAGATCCTGTAATTTGGCCTGTATTGATAGACCTCTGTGCCAGTACAGATTCAGTTGCCTGATTGGGGCCTAATTTTGTAAGATTTCACTTGCTTTAGAAATATAGAAAAAGGAAAAATAATGAAATCTCAGCTTCATTTTTTTTATTGGCTGTTCAAAGATATAAATCAGAGTCTTCTGTTACCTGTGTAACAAAAATAGTATTGACACCTGAATGTCTCATTTGAAGCATTGACTCATTTATTTTAGTTATATGTGCTTCACTGAACAGCAGAAGTTGAGTTATCTGCTGCATCTAATGATTTGGGCTCTGATCCAGCAAGCTGAGCCGTGTGAGCGGAGCCCTTGTACATTACAGAGCCCCTTTGAGTTCAGGAGGACTCCATGTGGGCGTAAGGGTTTTCCAAATGGATCAAATTGCAAAGTCATGGCAGTGGTTAGCACTGTTGCCCTATATAAGCCAACATGTTACCTTTGTCCTTCTAACCTAAATCTCATCTCTCCTTATTTGTATCATGCTCATCAGTTCAGTATTTGAGCACTTACAGAGCTACAGAAATGCATATTATTGGTCTACACAAACACCTGAATTTTTCTTTTCTCTACTCAGGCTGAAGGCAAATAGTAATTGTGTAACAATGTACTTTTTCCTTCTGCCCTTCTACTTTTATTTTTCTCTCTTCCAGCCTGAGAACAGGCTGAAGAGTGAGAAGTTATTTTGAGCTGGGTTGTTTTTTTTTCCTGTTTGTTTTTGGTGCGTGCATGTATGTCTTAATGGGAAGCTCTGGCAAAAGATGGGCCTTTCATTTTGTCCAGAAAGTGGTTAGTAATTTAGTGAGTTAGTAATTACTACTCATTTTGTAGTAATGAGCTCTTATGGAAACAAATTTTGTAGCTGTGGGGTGGCTTCTAAAAAGCTCTGACACTGATAATCTCCCCAGCAAAACTGTACATGGAATTTTGTTCTAGTATTTTTCATAGGTTACACTGTCTTTTAGGAAGGATGGTTAACAGAGCCCAGAGTCAGGAAACTTGGATTGTGTTCTTAGCTCTGGCATAGTCTTGCTGTATGGCTTTGTGTAAGTCACTTAGCCTCTCTGTGCCCCAGTTTCCTTATCCATAAAATGGGGAAAGTAGTAATTCCCTTCTTCACAGGGGTGTTGTGAGGCGTCATTCATTAATGTTTGCAGAAAGCCTTGCATGAAAGGTGCAATGTAAAGTAGTATTGATATTAATACTTCTATTTTGGCTTTCAAAAATCTGAATGCACTCTGCTTATAAATCTTTGTTTATTGCAGTGATAGACAATGGCACAAGTTAAAATTCAGACTGCAGCAAACCTCTCTGGACCTACCCTTCCCCCTTCGGTGCTACCCCCATCAGTAACAAATGCAAGTTCGCTGGGTCTGCAGACCTCAATGAATGGATCCATTTCAGAATCAGCTGCCAGCTGTAACAGTCCAACAGCTGGTCTTGTGGATTCTGCACCTTCTAGCAACTCACCAGGTAAGGAGATATTCTAAGCGAAACACTTATTTTTATTTTGCAATGGAATCCACTTGATGAGGTTTTTAAGATAAGTGGATGAGGTCCTAAAGAAAATAAAAACTAAAGAAACAAAACTCTGTAGAAAAATGTTTTGGTTTCAAATGCTCTTTACAGAATTTAATTCCTTTAGTTGAATTCTGATAGTGCATTCTTAAGAGATATGGAAGCCCCGAAAAAAATAAAGTATTCTGCCACATCCTATGTGAATCTTTTATAATGAAGTTTTAGTACAGCAGGAAGTTATCCAAATGCATTTTCCTTCCCTAGAACAAAATATCTTCAGTCTGTTTGGCAGAAAATGGCATTTCCTTTCTTGCCTAATAACTGCTATAGTTCTTGTTCTCAATTGGGTATAAAATACAATAAAATGTTACCCCAAAGTAAGTCAGCAGTGCAAGTTTGTGTTGGGAATAGATTCAAAGATGAAAGAAAAAAATAGCAGGAGGAGAAAGACATTAAAGAAACCTAGTACATAAACAGTCTGGGTTTAGGAAAACAGAATAGAATCCACAAAATTGTTGAAAGAACGAAGTTGGGGAGATACCCACACAGACGCGAGAGGTCTGCAAGAATGTTGGGAAGAATGAGGGGAAACAAGTGTGGGACCACAGGTGTTCATCAGTTTTTTGTCTTCTGTGTTTAAGTGTTTAGAAATTACCCTGAAAGATCAATTAATTCCAATAATGAGTACAGAGCAGAATGGAATTTTCAGGGACACGGTTTTAACGTACAAGTTAAAATATATAAACGTCCACCTACTGTCTTCCTTATTAAAAAGATTTTGTGTATTGCATGTAATTGAAATGGTCACAATAAAAAACATGTTCTCAAATTAGAAATATGTAAATAGTATTTAAACATTGTATTATCAAAGTGCAGTTTCATTGGCATTAACACAATCTCATATTTTTAGTGTATTATGAGGTTTTTTTAGCCAAAGTATTTTTCTTTTTTAAACATACTACTACTTTTTGCAAAGTTTTGCAAAGTTGTGAAGAATATATTTCTCCACAAAAACTTTACAGACTCTTTATTTACAGCTCCTCTCCAAGATAACATGGCAAACCCCAAAGAGAAAACTCCAATGTGTCTGGTAAATGAGTTAGCCCGTTTCAATAGAGTTCAACCCCTGTATAAGCTTCTGAATGAAAGAGGGCCTGCTCATGCCAAGGTAAGGTTACAGTTCCAGGTTATGAGGCATACCTTAAGTTATGAACAGATAATGTCATGGTTTGGACAAGTGCACTTGTCGAACACGATCAGGTTTATAGTGTTGGGGTTTTGTTTTGCTTTGTTTTTGTTATGCTTTTTAGGAAGTTCTTCTGTGTTGCTCTTGGAGCCCTGAGAATCTTTTCATCATCGCCTTCTGCCTTACTTATCCTCTGACCCTTGAGATCATACTTCTTGGCCTTCATCTTTTTCTCTTAAAGGTCTCTTCAGAGTCCATCAACACCCTTCCTTTATCATTCATGGCCGGGTTCGCCGCTGAGCTGCACAAAGCGCTCCTTCCCATCCAGGATCCAAGCAGTCTGCTTCTGAGAATTGCACACGGATCCCTTTGATGGCAGTGCAGACCCACTGCTAACAGACTGCTGGGCTAGTCTTTTCCCATTTTGTTTTGTGTTAATCATTTTTATTTAGTCTCCATAAAGTTGGTTATATGGATAGCAAATCTTCTGATTCTATCTGTGTTTTAAAGCACAAAGTATTTATCACAGTATTTTCCTGTAAACTCTGTGTAGCCCACAGTGACAATGGGTCTTTAAGGCTCACAGTGGTGTTAAAGTACTTAGTGTCTTTGTCTAGTCTCGCATCCTGTTTTGATAGTCAACTGATCTGTGAGAACATGTCAGGGTGGTTTCAGATGACCGTGGACCTAAAAAGGCATATTTACATGAAAGAGTTTTCAAATTTCTTCCCTCTTTAAGGGCAGAGTCACAAGAAAGATGACTAAAAAAATTCAGCTTGAGAGAGCAAAAATGAGATTTTTATATTCGAGAACCTTCTTAGCTCTACTCTGCCTCTTCAGAACAGAGCAGCTGAGCAAAGTTCTTGTTAATAACATCCAGCCTTCTGCAAGTTGCTTAGCCTCTCCTGAGAAGTTCTGTGTGTGCCCTCCTGATGCTGCACCTTGCATTGTAATCAGTGCAAAGTGGGAGTAAAACACTACCATTCTGGTTTGGCAGTGTTTTGCACCCATTTTGCACTGGTGTAAATGACAACACAAAGTTCATGGCAACAGTGTCTATCAAAATCAGTGGGAGATGAATGTACTTCATGCTTACAGAGGCACCCAGGACCTTGCGGGATTCGGGTTTTGGCTCTGTCTTTCTCAGGTTACATGTACTTGATTCTTTCTTTAACCCTTCCACTGCTGGTTCTCCTGTTTACTTGTTATGCTACCATTGTTCAACTACTATGCCATAGAAATCTGTGAAATGTTAGGTGCATACAGGAAGGTTCATTTTGCTTGTACCTTCCCTGAACATTCATCAATAATCAAGGGATTTTTGTTACTTTAGATTTATAATCTCACTTCTGCATGTTGGAGTCCAGAAACACAGCAGGATACAGAATAGTTCACTTTTTGGTTTTAATGTAGATATGTACGTTTTATCATCTGTGTGAAAATTCCTGCTAATGAAATACCTTAGGCCTCTGCTAGATTTCTGTACTTTGTCACCAGTGCTTTTGTGGGGATTTCCTAATTTGGGCCCTAAGAGGCTAATGTCTTAAAATTGCTGGATGCTTTCTATATAGATCTAGGAAACTGAATTTTAGAAGTTCATCTGAGCAAATAGGCAAGTGTACAACTTTTTCTTGATGCTTAGCTCTGTTCACTATTACGTGTATCTCTTGTTATAATTAATCATTATGTTTACAGTCCCCGAAGGGTTCCAGGTGCTTTACAGAACATATTGTTATAAAAAGGCTAGGTCCCTGCCCTTAAAAGCTTACAGTCTAATTTAGAAATGACCCAAGAAGTAAGAAACAAAGAAGGGATGAGTGTGAGGAAGAATGGGGGTGACGTTAATAAGGTCAGACATAGTTGCAATGCTTTGGCCCACAGAAAACATTTACATAGAAGTTATTATGATATTGTTATAGTAGCTATTGTGTATTTATTTCCATTACTGAGCATGGTGCTCTACAATGGGTAAAATATGCTAAACGAAGCAAAGTCTCTGTCTGAAAAAAACTTATACCCTAAAGGCATGAACTGCTGCTATCTCCCATGTGACTGCCTGGACACAGTGTGCCAAGGGCTACTTTCCTGTTGCGTATATTTTGCTCCTTTCTCTAGTGGTTTTCATAAAATTCGGAGACATGTAGTGTAATGCAGGCAGTCTGTATGACAGACATAGATGCCAGTAAACTCTTTGTTTTCCTTTTCTTCCTGTTCTGGTGTTTTTTCTGGCAAGTAAGTATGAACAGTTGTGATCAAATGTAAAGAGGCAAATAAGTGCTCCACAGAAAGGAGGAACTCCCCTGCAGTAAATTACAATTGCTAGAGGTTGCCACTCCTGAGGCTCTGATCAGAGTGTGGCTAGAAACTGTGCCCTCTGTACAAACGTTGTTGAGCATAGGCAAGTTTTTGGAGAGTACTGTTCTCAGTTGGGTTGTCAAATTGGCCACCAGTGCTGGGTTTCCATGTCATTGGGTTTTAGGAGATAAACCAATTTTTTAAAAAAAAGGCAAAACAGATTAGACAGTAGTGCAAAGGAATGGGAGGGAGTTGAGGGACTCGGCATGTTGCAGGATCAGGAAGGAGAAGAAAAAGCTTTACATACAGAAGAAAGAGAAGTGGAATGAAAGGACACAAATCGTGACAAGTGTTGCATTTCTAGGTTTTGCCGTAATGTAATTAAGATAGATATATGTTTGACGGGTTGGATCACAGAACCCCCCCTTGGGACTGCCACCCGATGTGCCAAGACTACTTCTGCTCCTGCTTTTCTGCCCTGTCACCTTATGACTTCAGTGCCCTGCCTGGTTTGAGCCAGACCCGCTAGCCTGCTGCAAACCCAGACCCAAGTCTGAACCACGTCCCCTAACAGCTGTAGGCTTAATTGACAGAACTTAGGAAGTGTTCCTGTCCTTGACACTCAGATGCCCAACTCCCAATGGCATTCAAACCCTAAATAAATCCGTTTTACCCTGTATAAAACTTATAGAGGGTAAACTCATAAATTGTTTGCCCTCTATAATAACACTGATAGAGAGAGATGCACAGCTGTTTGCCCCTCCCCCCCAAGTATTAATACATACTCTGGGTTAATTAATAAGTAAAAAGTGATTTTATTAAATACAGAAAGTAGGATTTAAGTGGTTCCAAGTAGTAACAGACAGAACAAAGTGAATTACCAAGCAAAATAAAATAAAACACACAAGTCTAAGTCTAGTATGGTAATAAAACTAAATACAGATAAAATCCTCACCCAGTAAGCTTCCTTTTACAGACTAGTCTCCTTCTAGTCTGGGTCCAGCAATCACTCACACCCCCTCTAGTAACTGTCCTTTGTTCCAGTTTCTTTCAGGTATCCTTGGGGGTGGAGAAGTGCTCTCTTTAGCCAGCTGAAGACAAAATGGAGGGGTCTCCCAGGGGTTTAAATAGACTTTCTCTTGTGGGTGGAGACTCCCTCCTCTCTCCTATGCAAAGTTCAGCTACAAAATGGAGTTTTGGAGTCACCTGGCCAAGTCACATGCCCATGCATGACCGAGTTCCTTACCAGCCAAGCCACATTCCTGGGAAAGTGTCTCCAAGTTCATTGTTGGCTTAAGGGCTTCTTGGTTGGGCGCTTACTGAGAATAGTCTTTTCTCAGAAAGCTGGCCAACTGCTTCACTAAAACCTACTCAGAATCAAATAACTATGCAGCCAATATTCATAACTTTGATAAGTACAAAAATGATACATGCATACAAATAGGATTAATAGATTCAGTAGATCATAACCTTTACAGAGATATGTTATGTGGCATATGTAGCATAAAACATATAAATCATTCTAGTTATGTCATATATACATTCATAAGTATAATTCCATAAAGCCTTATGGGGGGCACTGTCACAACAGGGAATAAAAACTTCCTCAGAAAATTATCCAGAATGCATATCAAACCATAGCCAAGCTCTGGGCTTCTGGGACCCAAGTTTCCAAGCCTTTAATTGATTATTTGAGACTTTTAAAAATGTTTTTGGCCAATTTGATCTCTTTAATTAAATTTCCACCTCTTTCTCGTTCTTTGGAGGAGACTTTTATCAGTCAGTTTTCTAGCTATGGAACTCAACTGAGCATACTATTATTATTATTATTTATTATCTTGAATTCTTGTATCTTAACACTCTGTGCTATAACTGAGATAAATGAGGTGTTAATTGGTGATGTGAACTGTAATACTGGGACCTGGGCTAAAATTCTCAGGGACGTACATGGCCAAATTTTCAAAGCTGAGTTTAAGAGAAACAGATGTGTTCACAAATTCAATATGCATTTGTACAGGCACATGCAATATAGAACTAGTTTTTAAGCAGTTACCCAGTTTGCATGATCATATGCAAGTGTTTTGTGGGTGTGGCATGTGCATGCACATTTTGAGCCCACTTTGTTGCACCCAGCTCTACATTTGTGGTTCCTGATCTAGCACATTTAACTCACTTTTAAAAAAACAAAACAAAAAATACCTAGACAGACCAAACGACTAAATAAAAGATTTAATTTCACCTTTTAGTCTTATGTACATATTTATGTAGATCTCCAAAACGTATAGTAGTATGTTTCTCAAGGCAAGCTGCAATATCATGTGCATGTGAGATTATAATCTGGATTAATACTTTTTTCAAATACTTTGATATTTGAAAGAAAATTAATTCATTTTTTTTCTACCCTCCCTTGTGGAGTGTTATGAGAGCTGCATTTTAAATTTAAACTGCATAAATGTAAATGGCACAATTATTATATACTTATGATAGAGATACTTCCTAATATTTTAAATACACTTTAGGATTTGTTTTTCACACTTTATAATGCTTGGTTGTTACTCTGTGATGAATTGTTTGCTTGAGATTGTTCTTTACTATTGATTTTTAAGTTTTTAGAGTTGAGTCAATAGCCAACTTTGTTAAATCTGAGTTATTTCAGTTCATCATCTGCATTATAGAGCTCATTTTAAAGAAACAAAATTAAGTTAAGACAACACAATATTTGTATACTTTATACTGTTGAACAAAACCCTTGGTTGCCAGGGCTTTTGCTTTGAGTGTATGTACTTTATTTTTTTGAAGAAAAATTGAGTTAATAAAAATATTGTATGGCTCTTATTGAGTAAAAATCTTCAGGCCCGATTCTCTACTTTCTTGAAGCTCTGTAGTCATTTACACCCATACAAAATGGGAATAAAACTTTTCATACCCACTTCTCACTTGTGTAAGTGACCACACAGATACAAGATTGAAGAATCAGGCTCTTAAATTTAATTTTTATATCCCTCCAAGAATATCAGGTTGATACACTTTAGTTTCTACTATTTGACTTTTATAACACTTTTTGTGATTGCTGGTGTGATGTTGTATGATTTATTTTTATATTTAAAGGCCAAATGTTGCCTAGTGACTTCAGTGGGAACCCTATACATACATCTGCGAGCAGAATTTGGCCCAAAGTATCATAACAAATAAAGGAATGCAGTTCTTCTCCATCTGGGTAGTGTTTCACATGTGTTGCTCTAAGTCACCTTGGTGACAGTCTTGCCATTATTTACCTGTTCTTTATATTTTTGAAGATGTTCACAGTGCAGCTGAATCTTGGTGAGCAGACATGGGAAGCGGAAGGGAGCAGTATTAAAAAGGCTCAACATGCTGCTGCTAGCAAAGCTTTGAACAAAACGAACCTTCCCAAACCAACTCCCAGACCACCCAAAAATAACATTAATAATAACCCAGGTATGTTGCCTATTCATGTCCCTCAAAATAATGAATCTTCTTGTTTGCCATGGAACAGCAGGTTTAGATGCTTTATAGAGGTTTATAGAGTATTTTATAGTAGGCATAAGTAGAGCTGGAAGATAAGGTAACATATAATTAAGAACCTTACAGTGAGTGTGCATGGTAATTCTTTTTATCTGCTGTAGCAGAAGCTGCTGAACTGCACGTGAATACATTTGCTTCTGCAAGACTCACCTCTGAAGGTAAAGGTACAAGCCAGTTTATGTGGTCAACAATAACTAAGCGCAATTGTAACAAGATTGAACTGACCATTTTTACATTAGTAAGAATACTGAAGCTGGCAAACTGGCTTTTCAGGGAAAAGGCCAAATTCTACCTGACTTACTCCATGTGCAATGCCACTGAAGGTGAATATAGAAATTGGGGCAGAATTTGGCACAAAAATTTCAGTACATAATTCCCTGCCTAATAGATTTTCCTTTGTAGCAACATAAATTATTTCTTCCAGCTAGTTCTGCATACTTTATTATTCAGTTAATCAGAAGGACATTTGTGGAGTCATGTGCCCTTCATCTGGAGATGTTATTTGCATGTTGCACACTGCACGCAACATAATCTGGTGTACATGAGAAAATAAAATACAAACACAGGAAATGCATCCCTCGGTGCTTATGAATCTCAGTCACATGCTCAGTGACTTATTCTTGTCTGATTAATTACTATTTTATGAAATATAAAAAGATCCCTTTATTTGTTTTACGATTTTTACTCATTACTTTCTCTCAACCACTTTCAAAAAGATTCACTTTGCACTAAGGGTCTGTCTGACTGAGGAGGGCTGGACAAACCTTTCTCCAGATCCCATCAATAGTGGCCTGAGCCTTGTCTAGAAGGGATTGTTTGCGAACAATCTAGGGTTTTCTTTCCCATCTTCCACTCCCTTAGGGCTGAGCATATTACTCCTATAACTCTTCCAGATCCTGCTGGCTCAGGGCTTGATCCTGTTTCCACTGAAGTCAATGGGACTTCTGCTGTTTAGTTCAGTGGAAGCAGGTGCAGCACCCTGAGGAAGAAGGGCCTTGGATTTGGCTCTTGTTGTGGCAGCATGTTATACAGGTGATACGAGTTTTGGACTAGCCTCTTTTAATATTTTTAATTGAGAAGTATGGAACAGAAAAAAGAAATACTTGACTTACGACGAACGGCACTTACGACGTTTCTGAATTGATACCCCGATTCGACTTACAACAGTTGGTTTCAACTTTATGACACTTGGTCCTGCAGTGGAGCGGATTGCGGTTTTGACTTAACAACGCAATTTTCAGGAACCAATTGTGTTGTAAGTCCGAGGACTGCCTGTAATAAATATTTCCCTTAAAGTTAAAAAATCTATTGCGTGTACAGGCATTCATATGACGCTGTCATCTTTCTTTAAGACTTTTTCTTTCAAAGCACAGGTATCTTTTGATCTAGTAACTACCTGTATTTTTATTGTGTAGCTGAATTCATAGTCACTTGAAGTCCAATTCTGCAGTCCTTGCGGTCCTTCCTTTGAGGAAAAACTCAAAATTGTGTTTAGTGGTAGTTTAGCCTAGCACTGCATAAAACCTGCAGCATTGGCACATAAAACCCAAATAACTGGTTTATTATTATTATAATTATTGCTCTTCTGGGCTGGATTAATGCCCACATCTAATTATAGTTTTAGATAATGGAATACACCTATTTAAACTCAGTTTGGATTTTTCTTCTCGCTGTAGAAGTGGGACACATTTTGGTTTATAATTTGCCAGTGAGATTTCCCCTGAAGTAAATAACAAGACAGTTATATTAAATGATTTGAGTCTTCTAATGGTTTTGCTTTTTAAATAAGGCATTTTATGATTATTGCAGCCTCATATTTAACATTATGGAGAATAAATAATTACACACACAATGGTAGTTGTTTGTTTACTGTTTTGCACTCTTTGACCAGGAGATGGCTGTAGTAGCACTAAATTTTAATGAATTTAGTCTCCAGTTCATAAGTTACTAAAATTTTTAAGTTTTTAATTTAGTCATAGATTTTACCTCTCATCTCTTGAAACGAAATCATTTAGTTCTGACTTCTATCAAATTGTTATTAAATTATTACAGTAATGTATGCTACTGCTATCTTGTTTCAATAGCTGTAAACTTTTTGTATAAGAGATTTTTGGTTTTCATCCATTTATTTAATGGCATCCAGTGGAAAGAAACGTGATTCTTTTACTGGTACTAATTTCAAAAAGTTTCATAGTATTTTAAAGGCATTCTTGAGATTGTTCAAAGCTGACAAACCAGTCTGATCATAGTAATCACATTTGGGCAGAGTTGTCTGCCCAGATTCCAAGAGAATACATGAAGATATCAATTTAAGTGCTTGTTTACATTTATTGATTAAGGTTGGATCTGTACCCCCATTTTATACTGGAATTTGATGCAACTTCTTAGTCGCTGCTTTTTTAGTTTAGTAGGAAAATCAAGATCTGTTTTACAGCCTTCCCACCCACCCCCAACACTGTATGTATGGTTTTAACATGCTTTACTGTTGAAGAGTCTTACATGTGGTCTTATTTATTACAGGCAGTATAACTCCAACAGTGGAGCTGAATGGTCTGGCTATGAAAAGAGGAGAGCCTGCCATCTACAGGCCACTAGATCCAAAGCCAATCCCAAACTATAGAGCAAATTATAACTTCCGGGGCATGTACAATCAGAGGTTTGTATGTTTTCTGTTGTGTGCTATTACTTCTCCACTGCTTAAACAAATGCTAAGTTTCTTTAAACTTTATAGACTACTGCAATGTAAAATAAAATAAAATTCTTACCAAGGAGTGGATGTGCAGCGCAGCTTAGAAACACTCATAAATTGGTGAGCAATACATGTTTAAAATGACAAGTGCCTAAGGATATCAGAGTGCCTAGGGATGAAGGCATGTGTAAAATTTGTTTTGGTTATTAAATCTAGATTGGAACTAGAACTCAGTCTGTACAGGAGGGACATGAGTCAGATTAACTCTCCATAAAGGTGTTGCTTTTCATTGCTGATATTTTAGCTGTTGCAAGATTGCGTTGAATGGTACAAACTCCCTTTTCTCTTGGAGGCGGGTAAGATTGGGAGGGCTCCATCTGGAAAGTTAACATGCTGTGGAGCTGTCCTCCCATCTCCAGTAGATGTTTACAGCTTTCTTCAGGCACAAGTAACTCAGTTCTTCAATTCACAAATGTTGCTACATGATAACTTTTGATTTATTCATAAAAATGTTATTCCGCATTTTAAAAACCTCCAACCTAACCCTCCTTGTATGGAGTAATTGTTGCTAATGATAAGAGGGACCTCTAAGCAGCCATTATTTCAGAATAATAGTTTTCCTTTTTGAGCTATTCTGTCCACTCTTAAGAGACTGGTAAAAGTTAAATGTGTGACAGCTTTGTCAAGTGAGCATCCTAATAGTTCCTTGTCTGACAAAGCCTTATCATTTACTAGGAAGTATTATAACTTTTCTTAGTAGTTTCATGACTGGTCCTTGTTCTGATCTGCTGCAAAACAGATGGAACATGTTGGCAATTTATACTAATTCATCCTGAATTAAATGTAGCTTGGAAATAATGTGGTCACCTGAGAGACTTAAAGAGTTAGTGCTTAGGGCTGAACTTAAAGATTTTTTTTTGTGGGGTTAGGCTGGACCTCAGTTGCAAAGAGTCCCGTTCCTCTTTTATCTTCTTTACCTCAAAGGAATTGAATCATACCAACTCTCGTTGTGAATAAAAAGGGTTGAAGGTTTGGTTAACACTCCCGACTTGTCCAAAGGAATTCTCTCTACAGTGATCCAAAGCACTTGTTTGGTTGAGTGTGTTGCCTCTGTTACTCTCTGTCACTGCTTGGATAGACTGTATTGTAGCATGGCCTGCTTTTACTAAATGGCTCTGTTGGCTGAAATTAACTTTTTTATTAATACTTTTGCTCAGTATTTTAGGACTCCTATAATTAGTAGAAATATCAATAGAAATTACTTGGCTGACAAAATAAAATTATCTAGACTAGGAAAAAGTTTAACGTAGGAAAAAAAAATCTAGAATGTGGAATAGTGAAGTATTTTCTTCTGGTGTAGTGTCCTGAAGATCCCTCATGAAAGCACAGTCCACAACAATTTTTACTGTTATTACTTTATAAAAAGTGTTGCATAAAGTAGTTTTATTTCTCTACTTAGGAGACTCACTGAAATGTCTCAGACTTCATTCAGGTAGCATTTATTCTAATTCAAATTTTTGAAATAAATCTGTGATTGACCCTCCGATATTTCAAAGAGGGATTTTCTTGTTTTCAAAAAAACACCTTTGCACAAACTTCATTTGACTTTGCCATTTAGATATTTGTGTTTGTCTTAGGACTTCTTCCCTTGGAGCCTCATGTTCCTTCTTTTGGCACCTGCTGTGAAATCATAACCCTGGATTTGTGATGACATGCTATTTCTGTAAAATTGACTGTTATGAGAAAATCAGTAATAAACCTTCAGCCTCTCACAATCCTGCGGTCCTTATTTAGGCAAAACTCTGGGTGACTTCAGTGGAAATTTGATCACAGAATTTGACTGTTACACAAGAGGAAAAGATGGGCTGTGAAGGGGTAAACCTCTGTTTAAGCACAGTTTTCTGTGGGCTAGATTGATTAAGACTGTGTGCCTGCATGGTGTAAGAACCCTCTGTACATGGGCTACCTGGACCTTGGATGTTCCAGGTGTGTAGGAATAACTAGGGCTACTTGGTTGCTTGCGTCTTCACAAGAGCTGATGGGCAGAGAGAGATGGGAATTAGGTGGAGCCTTTGCTCCACCTCACCCTCTGCTCACTGGGCAGAGTAGCTGCACCAGCATAGGGAAGAGATGGTTAATAATTTGCTGTGGGTCAGCTGCAAATTACTACACACACACATACCAACACCCACACACCAGAAGAAAGGGGGAAGCATTAGATGTTGTATACAAAACAAACAGCGATGATGATCTTGCATTTATATATCTCCTTTTATCTGAATGGATCCCAGAGAGCTTTATAAACTTTAACTGAAGGAAAATAAGCTCTGATGATTTCAGGAATAAGTTGCTTGTTCCCCAAATTAATTTTCTTTCTCACAAACAAGTTAACTCTCACAAAGTTCTTGGGGATTTTGCAGCATGAAGTTTACAGTTTACATTTAAGAAAATGTTCTTTGGGCAACAAAATTAAGATTACTCTGTTTCACTTACATTGTAAGCAGACATGAAATCTGCTCAAACACTGTCACCTTTTGTAAATTTAAAGATAGTTGAAGGCCCAATTGTTGTTTTGTGAGCTACCTTGACAAAGGTTGCTCATGGCCAAAAAATTAGCATGCTTCTTGTTATGTCTGGCAAGAAATGTTAGTTATGTGTATAAAGAGAATGTGGCTATTTATGACCCCAATGCAGTGTGCTTGTGAGTGCTCTGTGTGAAGTAAAAGTGTGAATGAATTAGGAGATTTAGGTCTTATCTTAGGTTCCATTTGTCAACATTTCAAACTTCTCCCCCCATATTATTTGCTACAATTCAGTAGAACTGGCAAACTGTTCAGAAAAGACCAAGGACTGGAATAGCAGGTCAGGACTGAGGTACATTGGCAGAGCTGTATGATGAAACTTACATACACCTTGTCATGCTGTATCTCTCTCCTGCCAGTGCTATTAATCCCTCACTTTCATGAGCATGCCGTTCATTTACAAAATTAAAAAGCATCAAAAACATAATTGTTCAATCACATGAAAGTTGTGAAAAATAAAACAAGCTCTGTCTGAGTTCCAGCTACATAAGTCTGTCCAGCTTCCCCCATGTGTATGTCTCCATTTGATTACCTTTTAATATCATAATGTGTTGTCTTCAGTTAGAGTTGAAAATAATCCTCCTTGAAGTTTAATTGTGTTCCAGTATTTTCAATGACAGGGAGTCTGTAAAATGCAAAAGAGATGTGATATCTTACAAATGCACCCAAACCACATGCTTTTAGTCAAGAAATAAAAGCCACTGGAAACTGAACACCTGCTTTTGATGTTGTAATACTGCAAGCCCTTGTCAAAGGGATCACAGAGTACACCCCCCCCCCTTCCTTTGGAAGAATCCTTAAATGATTTGCTTATAACATAAAATTCCTTAAAACTGTCTCACCACAGTACAGGGAGCTTGAAAGCCTTAAAAGAAACCTTTGGAAATTAAAAACACTTGTGAAGTATAGAAACAAAGAAAAAGCAAAACAATGAGTGGATACAAGGATAAAACTGAAAATAATTAAAGCAACACTGGTTCAGTTTTGAAGAATTTCATGTGATGGGACTGCCTTATGAGTGTATGTCACACGAGGTGGTAATATTTATGGGATACATTTCATTTAACATCCGATGAAGTGAGCTGTAGCTCACGAAAGCTTATGCTCAAATAAATTTTAGTCTCTCTAAGGTGCCACAATTTCATTATTTCATTTATTTCTTATTTCATTTAATATGCACCTTTGACAGCTTTGCCGACACTTTTCATTTTCATCCACTCCCCTTGTGGTTACTTCCTCCTGTATTTACATCACATACTACAGACTAAGGGTCATATTGTGCTGCCTCTGTGTAGGTACAGTAGATGGGAAAGGGTGCTGGGAGCCTTTCTCCTTGTCCATCTCTCTCTCTCCATCATCACCACACTCTCCTGCTTCCCCGAACTCATGGACTGCTCCTGGATAATGCCACTTGCAGTGCCATCTCCAAAGCAGCAGCACAATCCTGGAAGCACAATCCTGCCTCCCCCACTGGCTGGTAGATTTAATTAGAGAGAAAAGATTGTATTGTGTAAAATAAATTAAATCTGCTGGAACATTCTAGCTTTATGGGGTATCTCACATGATCCTGCAGTTAAAGACTGTATCCTACTGTATACTTCCAAGGGGACAGAGCTAAGGCTGAGCGTGCTTTCTTAATTTTGGCATCGCCAGACTTTTGAATGCTTAGCAGTGCAACCTTAACATTCAATCAGCTTAATTTATTCTGTGGAAATTATTTAAATGTAAGTAGAGGAAAATCAGGACATAAGAATAGAGTAATGAAATGCTACAGGCCATGTTTTCAAATGTGGTTGCATTTCAGGAAACTATATAAATCTACCCAGACCCACTGTATCCACAAAAAGCCCACAAAGGAGTATGTAGTGTCACATAGTTATCCAGTTAGTGCACGCAGGGTGAAATCCACTCACTTAAGAGGGCCTTCACCAGGCTTTCCGTGTTACATGAGCACCACTTTAACCCTTCAGGAGAATTGGTGTGGCTGTGGGGAGGGCTTCTGCATGCCATGAAGGGGACTCAAATTGAACTGTGAATAGGAGTAATGTATTAGGAGCCGCTCTATAACAATTCATGAATACTGTAAGTTGTCCTATCATTGTTTTGTGCATGACAATACTGATTTCACTCGCAGGAGTCTATCTGGAAAAAACAGGCAGGAAGGAAAAGAATGGCACAAGATAAGCCACCTGTCAAGGAATAATGGCAGGAATATTTGCATGAGTTTGCCTTCTCTCCAGCCAACCTACAAAACTGGTTTGGAGAGGGACAGGAAAAAGCCTATGAACACTAAACAAAGGAACTCTGGAAGAATTAATAAGGGACTTTCTCTCAAGACAGGGAGAGGAATTGTTTTGGGGAATTAGACTGAGATGTGGGCACTCT